GCTAAGAAAAGAAGGAAGAGTAGCTAAATCAAGGAACATGCGGCTTTGCAGGGTCCCTGCAAAGCCGCATTCCTTGATTCACGACTCAGACACTCGCACCGGCCGGCGACCGTCCGACGACGGCCTTCCGGCCGGCGGCCGTTCCATAAATCTGGGCGGAGCTTAATGCCGGCCGGTGATCGCTCCAAAACAATTATATCGGCCGGCGCCGATCAAACGGTCGCCAGCCGGTATATACTTATCTAGGGTCCCTGTGCCAAAGTCCGGGAATTGCATGGATTTCAAACATTACATGATCGAGCCTCACAGGAAAGGCGCGCTCTACTTTCTTTTTATTTATGTAGTTGCAATTTCTTTGTTTCGTTTATATTTCTGTTTATGTATTTTATCTGGAGATTATGGGTGCTGCGGTGTCACTGGAAGACGCTCAGAACTTCGCCGCATTATGAGTTGACGTTATCCCAATCCACTGTAATCTTTTCCAGAGTCGAAGGAAAAACTAAGACGTTTGTAGTCCTTACTTTTTGAACATTCGCATAGTGCTTGTCTTAAATGTTCAAATACAGGGGATACCAAGCTGAAACGTGCTGCTCGCGAGGTATAGAGTCTAGGTTCGCGTTTATCATTACTTATAATAACGGGCTAAGAGTGTTTACGTGTTTTTGTGTGTGAGTGTGTCTATTACGAAATTCGTATAGCGTGTTCTAGCAAACATCCCGAACTCAAATTTTGCATAGCGTAAGCTACCACCATATAGCTCCAAAATGCAAAAGCACGAGCGGATGCGTTGAGTAGAAACTGCGCGTCAAACGGACCCACTTGGCTTCTCGCCTGCAAAAATGGGTCCGTAATTCCACTTTTCACAGAGTCGTGGATGTGTGGCAAGTAAATGTGCAAGCCATAGACCAAGGCCCAAAAAAGTGATCAAAAGTCTACTTCTTTTCAAAAAAGGCGTCAAAAAGAATAGGTTGCGCAAACAGTCAATTTGCCAAGGTACCAGAGCTTCTAACGAGATTTCTAAACAAAATTGCAGCTTACGGTGATTATTGTTCTTATGGCGACTACCAAAGCCATGGAGAAATCAAAAACCTATTTGAACCTGCTTTCGTTCTCATGCGAAAAATATCATCCACGCGAAATCACCGACTTCACATGAAAGAGCTTTTGGAATAAGAGTTGTTTACATTTTATTCGTGATAGTCGGAATTGTGCGGTGGTTTTCAATGTCATCATTATGCGAGAATGAGTAGGGCATTCAGACAGTAGAACCAGTGCGAGCCTCTGCGAAGCAGAGGTGACGCACTGGTTTTTGATAAGTGAACAAAAAATATGTACCTGAAATCTTATTCTACTCATGAAACTTGATCACGGTCCTCGGGATCAACATCTCACTCATGCTAACGACTATGGTCTTTCAACTATCGTTATTCTTCGCAGAATGCATTCACGGACTACTTTTCCTCTGCTGACTATTCTAGAACTCTGCTGTCAAGGTCCGGCACAGATCGTCTGAAAGCAGGTTAGAATTCGTTTTTGAAGCAAACAGCAAAGGGGATATCGTTTTTGACGAGTCGGAACCGAGCACCAAGAATAAGCGCCATTGGGTCGAACACACAACAAAAGCTTTTCGGACAGGTAATCACACGATTGACATGCTCTATCGTGCATGGAGAAAAGTGCGCGCGATTTGAAAGCAAGGCTTAAATAAACAAATTGCGTGTTTACACCGCACACAGAAGCTGACACCAAAATTGAACTGTATGTATAGAAAATTACTTGCGAAAGGATTATGTAAAAAGATTTGTAAACTTAAGTGAAAAAATACCTTTTCCAAAATTGGATCGTCTCCAGACGGCCACCAGACGATCTGAGATCGTCCGGAGCATATATTCTCGTCACTTCACATAAGTTTCGGAACTTTTCAACATGGAAAGATTCTGCGACCAAAAATCTATCCCTGAGCATGAAGACATTTTCATATCATTGCCTTTCCTTTATATTTTGCCTTCATTTCTTCTCGCTTTGCTAGATATCGCGCTCTAATGCAATGTCTTGTGCATGCGTAGTATTCAGCTCCAATTTGGATTTTCACTCTTATCTCACGCTTTTTTTTAGATTAGTAAATCTTTCTTGTTTTCATCTTTTTCTAAGCAGGTAGGTCAAAGGCAACTTCGTAAAACTTCCGAAAGTCAGTGAGACTTCGTTTTCAGAAACCCTAGAAACCAACTCTTGCCGGGCCCTGTCTGCTGTATATCTACGGATGCTGAATATATCTCATGTTCTACGAATTTGCGGTATTCCTATGCCTAACATTGCGTACACTCCAGAGTTATGTAAGTGGGTTTACACCGATCATTTGACAGAAACTAATCTTGGTGAGTGGTTTAGGGGAAACATTTACTGAACGCCTCCTGGAATAGGCCTTTGGGTTGCTCCGCTCACTGATAGATAGCAGTTCCTGAGCAGGTAAGTCTTGGTATCAATGATCTCATTTGTGAAAAGCTTATCTTGTTTGCAGATCTCCGTTGTGAGATGAGCGTCACTCTCAAGAATATAGAGTGCAGCAACTAGTCAACTCGGAATGAGTAGCGGTCCGATGTGTACCTTTTGCGTCGAATGGATGTTCACATGTGCAAAGAAACGTCATCTTCTCGTGGATATAAGAAGCGTCCAAATTTCATAGCTTTATTAGAGGCATATTGTATTAGGCTTTACGTACCAGTCTTATTTGTAAATATTTCCTCACTATGTATGCTTATATAAAAATGGACATGTTTTTGCGGTTCTATATTACGTTTTGTAATTTGGGGGGGGGGGGGGGGAGAGGGCAGCGAAGGTTGCAAAACGAGAAGAATCGCGCCCCAAAACCACTTTGTTGCGCGACTGACACATACCGGCCGGCGGTCGTAGACTACGCGGCTGAGTGAAATTAACTGTGGTTCTACCAGCCGGTCTTTGTGCGGCCGCCGGCCGGTGCGAGTGTCTGAGATAGCGCTCGCGCGCAGGTGTGTGACTGCACTACGCGGCGCTGGCCCCGTCGAACGCATTAAGTGGAAACAGCTTAGCTTCTTTGTAAAAATTGAGAATTTTCGTTTTTTTTCGATTTTTAAATGAGGAATAAAATAAGGAACGGTACATATGAGTGTCTGATGTAGTGTGCAATTATCGTGAGAAAGATGAAGACCTGTAGGGGTTTTTTTCGAACAAAGAGAATTTTTCGTGATTTTCTGAGCCTTGAGTACGACTCATATATTAGACCAAACTTAAAGAGGGCCGAAGTTGGAGAGAACTTTTGCAGACCGTCTTGTAGGGCTTGCTTTGCTCTATCGAATGGTGCCCTGGACCCCCATTGAAAATGTGAACTGCATGACTTATCGCATAAGTAGTTAGAGTGTCTCAGGACTTATCTTACAACTCGATATCTTAGAAGGCTTTTTTTTGCACTTCAGTCTATCCCATAGTGGATAAATTCAAGGCATTAGGAAGACGAAATTGAGGCCTAGGTATGCGCGGAATAGCCATAATGCGAGCTTTTGACAACATGTGAAAAATTCTTTGCAGAAGAGGACTACCACTAAACAACTTATCATACTCAGTCTTAGACCCAACATGATTTTCATTTGCAGCTAGGCGCTACCAAGCTGAGGGAAATTATCTTTGCATTTCTGCAATCCGCGCTGTATGCTTTTTAACATTCAACGATGTTCGCTTTATATGGCACATATAAGGCGAAAATCGCATGTGGTAGGTATTGAATAAACAGATGAATAGGTGATGATGATCAGATGCTTCTCGCATTCTCATTACATAAACAAGACTCATTCAGCAGAAAGGTGGGAGATCTAACAACAAGGACAATAAAAGGGCTACATTTAGATTGTGAACCTTTGCAAGGCCTAGTGGCATGGGATTATTGATATCTTTCACAGTCTTTCAATCAAATGGACATGAAACAACGAAATTCCCCGCTTGGCTAGTGCATTCTCTCTAATCGATTACATTGTTCACAAATGTAAGTGTTGCAGATTTGAAAGTAATAATCTTTTTTGGTCGTTAAATCAGCTCTAGTAGTCGAGTAAGTTCCCTAGCACTGAAAACGTTATTGTAGAGCGGTTCTACCACGTCGCTTTGGAAAACCAAGGTTGTATAAGGAAAAAAACTGCATAAATGACATGTGGGAGTCAAAATGGCGTAGACTATATCGGTTTTCTAGTCAACATATCTATGAGGGGGGTTTTTGTTGAGCAGCATGCTCCTACGAGAAAGAATATGGTGCGAGATAATGGATTGAGAAAAGCAACATCCTGAAGTTGTGACGTCTTTCTTAAGCCACTAGGTAAGCATTCATATGATTTGTTCAGCCACAATGTGGTAGGGTTACTTTTTCTACTTTTACCAGCTTTGCAAGTAAGCTTAAATGAATTTGAAATTCTGAGATTATGTTGGAGAATGAAAATGACATAATCTTTATCAATCTTAATTAATGACCACATAACAGCTACATTTTTCCTCTAGATCACAAAAAGCTCGTTGGTTAAGGCGTATGCGCAGACAAGTACACCAATCACTTTTAATCTATAGATATTGAGTAATGTACTCTTCTTTCAGTAACATTTCAGGAGCTTTTTCGAGGAAGTTGCTAATCAAAAATCTTCACTCTTTTCAGATAAGTATTTTGTTATTTTTTGAAATTAAGAGGTTCAGGCATGAGCAAGTACGCAGTGAAGAGAGCCATTTCTGTCACTTAGAATGTAAGAATTTATGGTGAAAAAGCGTGGCCCTCTTGCAGTGGTATTATGCTGGAGGAAAGAATATTGGATTGCATTTATCGAGCGCGAAAGAAGTTGAAGAAATAGGGGTGGCAGCGGTGTTTGCCGTGATAGATCTCTAGTAATTTGTGTGTGGTTTGGATACACCCTACGAAGGTTGAAACACATTTGATAGTCTTCATTTACTTCCTACAAAAGGCAAAAGTTAACAAGTATCTGAATGACGTAGGATTATGACAAAGCATGTGTAAAACTGAACTCACGATTCAAATTAGTGATGTTGACGGTGTAACCATTCGGAATTACGGGCATGGCTGGTGCTGCGGCTGCAGCGACCGCAGGCGGCATCGGAACCATGGGGGGAAAGGGAGGAGGCGGATGTACGAATGGTGCTGGTGCTCCCGGGATAAAGGGTCCGGCCACGCCTTAATTTCCTATTTATTCACGTTAGCTGCGGCGAATTTATACACAAATTACTGAAGAATGGCTTTTAAAACGTTTGGTCCTGCTTTATAGAGAATCTGGATGACAATTTGTCATGTTCGACGTGGTAATTTTTCAATGCAGTACTAGTGAACCAGTAATCTGCAGGTGCCATTTGGAAGAACGTTCGCTTCGGGACCGCCACGCGGTTTCTCGCTATTTGCACTTCAAATTGCGCTTACGATTCTTTGTATATCAGACAGATATATTGACACTTGCGATGGTCGGCATTGTGCATGTGCATATTTCGGAAGCTCTTATCCTGCTCTATGCCTATCCTTGTTTCATTTGCATTCGAAACTGAACTTAGGGAAAGAGGTTTTTAACTGGGAAAAGTAAATAAATATATTTTACATTCTTCATTACGTCGAACAACTCAGATAGGCTAGAATGCCTGGAAAACAGCCCGAAAATTGGACGTGTATGCAAAGAGTGTCATAGTTCTCAGTGACCACTCAAAAAAATCTAAAAAATTTAACTTAATTTTTAAAGCTGGATATCATTGATACCACCTCGAGGTCGACCTAGGTATCTGAAGGCACTCTTGAGAGGAAGGGATGGACAATACAGGAATTAGAGGATTTGGCAGACAGGAACAAATAGAATCATCAATAATAATACAAATTTATGGGGCGCCTCATAAGCACCGACGAACGTGTTGATAAATCTCGCTCCAATAATTTTTGAAATAACGGTATTATTATAGACATTAGGTGAAAAGAAGGGAGCAAGCATAAGTATTGATATGTGATTGACCTTTTGTTCATTCTTTTCTTATAATTTCACCAATGGAAAAAGATGTCGAAAATGACTTACTGCTTCTTTACATTATAAGTTCTGAGTCCATAAGTTTCTTTACTTTTGCACTTTGAGTGAATGATGCATGCGCAAGCAGTAAGTTTTTAGAAGTACATTTATTCTTTGCCCTGGTCAAATATAAAAGCTCATTCGTACTAAAAAATGAGTATAATCCGTTACAATTTCACAAACTACACTGATTCAAGACAATAGAAGTTAATCAGTATTGCCCCATCTGACATCAAGAATACGGTTTTGTTCTCAGGGGGGACTGATCGTTACCTTGAAGTATGGGGTTAAGCGGGTGCGTGGCGTTAGGTCCAAGGCATACCTCATGCGATTCCAGTCGCTGCGCGATTTGGCACTGCAGCGACTCTTCATATCTGGCCGTAAGCGCGCTTTGCATGGGTTAGACTTGACGGTTTTGCTACAGCTTACGGAAGCTACGCGCCTATGCATTCTAGGAATCTGGCGATCCGCCAAGTCGCGTGGATGTAGCGATTTGACGAAATCGCGCGAGGTATGCCTTAGGCCTCAGGTACCCAACCATCAGTGGTGTACGCTAAGCCACGCCCTTACTTGCTTTAACAGTGGGTACCTAACGATACATTGAATCCTAGCTGCTAGAACAGCTCACCTAACTTGCTAAAGCGTTGGCGCTTGTTGCTTACCAGTTTTAGAGTGAGTAAAAGATCAAAAAAGGGAGACATTCTCCTCTGAGCAAATCCTGATTGGTAAGCACACTTTTTCTTTACTTTGAAAGATTTCACATGCATATGAAGCTTTTATGGATTTGCAGTATTTTATCAGGCTTCTATTCTCTTTGGAGCTTTTGGAGTGTAACTCCCCGAAAAACGAAAGTTGACAGTGGTCACTCTCAATAGTTTTTTGCTTTTCCATGTTTCACTTTAACGGCGTACAATCGTTCAAAATTTGGAATATAGCTCATTGGTGCTAAATTTTCAATTTTTTTTCATTTTTATCATTTTTTACGGCTGCCATTATCTTTTCGGTCAAATTATCACAATTTCTTTCTGCAGAACTATGCTCATAAAAAATTTAGCTTTTTTTTCAAACTTTCAACATGCATGTGTAATAATTTCATTCAAAATCTGATTCTAAAATTGATTAAAAAGAAGCAGTAGAAAAAAAAAGATGTGTACAACTTGTGTTTTCATTCGCGAAATTTTTTAAATTTTTCGAAATGTCTTTTCTCTGTGGGTCGCAGCGATTTGATGAGCTAGAGTGCGCTGTTTTAGCAGCTGGGATTCGGTTTATCGTTAGGTACCCCCCGCTAAAGCAAAGGGGCATGGCTTAGCGTATACCACTAATGGCTGGCTACCTAACGCCAGCACCTCGGCTGGGTACCTTACCCCCCCCCCCCCCCGTTAAGCTTTTGCACTTTCTATTCACTGAAGTGAACTCTGTTAGGGAGTTAACATAGTTCTTATTTTTTGAATGGCCAGATATCCCATAAAGCAAACCCACATGGTTCTGCGTGTTCTTTTCAGATATTAGTCGTGTTCTTATCACAGTGCTGCAGAGAGCAGTTATTAAAAAGACTCACAATCAAGAAAACTTGAGAATTTTCTCTATTCATCGTGTTGTAAATCTTGCGAGGAGGACAAGCAAACCACATGCTCAAGTTATAATAGTCAGATACTAAGATGTAAGGTTTTTTCCGGACAAGTGGCCGGGACCGTCAATCGCTAACATCACTTCGATTAAGTACAGGACGTCCTAATGTCAATGTGCTTTTCTGACGTCCACTTTCCGGAAACATCAAGCAAAGCGCCCACAAGTTCGCAAGCGCGGCTTGCGCGCTGTTATCCAACAGGCTTGTTTTACACACTTCGATGCCAAGGTTCGGAACACTTATCAAGACAGCCTTAGGCAACATATTATGAAAGACAGGAAAGTGGTTTTTTTCTTTACCTTTTCTTCTTCTTACCTGGGCATTATGAATTAACACCGTTGGGTTGATGAAGTGAATGCAATTGCATACATAGGTGGGACTCACATTTTGCAATTTGTGCACGTGGTAGATGTCCGACTGGTACAAATGGGACTTCCGTCAACGGCGAGATGTCTGACTGAAATCCTGGAGGTGTCGGTGCAAATGCATCGGCCAGCATCTTTGTTCTTGGTACAAACTCGGGTGCTTTGAGCCATTCTGCAGTATGGTATTATACAAAAATTGAAGTTGATCTAGCAAATCTGACAAATTTTAAGATGTTCGGACTTTATGGATTTATATCGGAATATTTTGTTAGTATTTGAGAAACTTCACTGAAAAGCGGGTAGCACTTCCATATTTACAGGGTGCGGCAAAAGTCTGGGAGCCTAACTTTGCACTATTGCAATTACAAGAGTACTGGTGGTTTTGATTTCAATTTTATGCCACATGATGCTGTCATCCTCTATAACATACGCTTTATTTGGATGGAAATGGCTGCCACATGTTTTTGTAAGAATGGAAATTACCAAACTAGTACATTTGCAAAGCGAAAAAACCAGAATTTTTAATATTTACAATTTTTGCTGTAGCTAGAGATGCTGTTAATATTTTACAAAACTTCGATGCACACAACAAAGAAGAGGCTTTGCGCTATTGTATCCCAGTCTTGCTTCTGCCAGGAGCGTTCTTGCATAAATGGAAAATAAAAGTTTGCGAATGTTACCTACTTGCCAGTGGAAATCCGTCTTCACAACAAATTTAAAAGCTATAAAATGCTTAACAGGCACTGGGACCAAGGCTGTATTTTTTGCATACGTCTTCTAAATTAGAATCTCTTAAAATTCGGCCATGGGAACACTTTCGTACTTTTTGAACGATAATTTTGAGTTTTTATTCGCGCAATTGTAGCCAAAATTCCGATATGCGACGTACACATGCTTCTAATTAGAAATCCAATATTTTTATTCCTAAGCAATGCAAAAAACTCTTTTGGAAGCATGTTGTAGATAAAAGCTTGCTCTATCGTGCTGCACATGTGCCAAGGTAGAAGAAGCAGTTATTGCGAAGGCGTGGGGCGAATTCCATTACGACTACCAGCGTGTCATGACAGGTGAACTTGCCAAGATTTTGTAGGGCTGCGTGGAAGCCAAAAGAGGCGATTTCGAAAGTCAAGAACACTGAGCTGTATCTGCAATGGTTCGAATTATGTTTGCGCCAAATTTCTCGTTTCTAGGTGCTTCCCTTCCCATTTTATATGAAAAAGTACTAGGCTCCCAGACTTTTGCCGCACCCTGTCCCTTCATGGGCATTCACTAAACATGTTGATTAAAGCTCCTTCCCTGCTGCTCCTAGTGCACCCTGACTCATATGTATTTTAGCCTTGTTAATCCGCATACATATTTCCCCGGTCTAGGAAGAAGCTTAAAACTACATTTTATTATTTTATTATTTTATTTTTTTTATTCATTTCAGGTCCTCGCTTTTGTCAAATTCACCACCAGAAACTTTTCCATTTTTTTGAAGTGTATGCCAGTGTGTAGGAAAAAGGATGTAGCCCCTCGCACTTGTTTAAACCAAAAATGGACATTCAGCGAGCATTTGCTGTAATCTGCTCAGTCAGTTCGTCAGGGATGGAGCATATGGGCATCGATCACCATAAAATGTCTATGCTCCTGAATAAATCAAGACACAGAAAATTAGAAAGTCATAGCTAATCAGGCAACTCCGTTTTTTACCTCTGTAATGAGATCTGCAAACAAATTTTGCTAACCATCTTCGCTGTGCTCCCCTTGCGATTAGGCGTGCAAAAAGTTCTAAAGAAAAAAAAATAAACAAAAACTCTTCAATGATGTTTTAGTTTTCAAAGCGGAGTTTCAAGTTCCACCTTCTACCAAGTCAATAATGGCGCTTTTAGGAAGTATCACCTAGCTTTAAGAGCGGCATTCCTTTAGTTGCATCAAAACTCTGCATCTTTACAAACCAACATTCATTGACCGCTTACCACCCTGCAAGTCTGCTGACGTTTCACATAAGATATGGGAATTTTTGAGAAGACTTGAAATCGATTTCCGACTAATTTCAGCAATTGAGGGGAACGTTCGCGAGCACCGACGTATGCATTAATCCTCTCATGCATGGCGAAGGAGATGAGCTATGGCAAACAGTGCATTCACTTCGTCTCTGCTGCCGCCGCTCACTTACCCGGAGAAAGGGGAAGCGTGCAAAAATATTTTGCTTAAGTTGTTCTAATAATAAGATGTTTTTTGACCACATTAGAAATCACTTTTGAAGTGATTGTGGTGGAATTTCTACCCGCAAGTCAAAATTTAGCGATGAAGCCCTCATTTCATTGCTATTCTTAGAATTCTCCCGTAATAAATTCAAAATTTTCATCAATGAATGAATAACGGAAGAATTCGAAAAGTAAACTATAGAATAAAAGAATCCAGGTGAATGCGAAATTCGAAAATATCGATTGAAAGAATACCGAATAAGATTTGAAAATCAAAAATTTCGTATGTATTAGGTCGTTTCAAAAGTAATTTCGCTTTTTTCAAACGGTCACCACATGTGACGAAACAAAGATTTCTAAGAGATCTTGGAGGCATTCGGTGCAGAATTTCATTCTCTTTCTAAAGGTTATGAAATTGTTGCAAAACAGTCAATGAGCTTCCAGAAAATAACCAAAACCTGCGACCCATGCTTTCTGAGATGGTCAAGTTTCACGATTTTTCAAAACTTTCATATCAATCCTCAGAAGGAGTTCAAGTAACGGTTCGATAGAGTAAACCTTATAGAATACAGTACTACTTTTTTCTCCTTTCCACAACTTATCATACATTTTTAACAGAATTTTAACTGATGCTACCGATTTCCATACTTGGGCAGCTAAATCCTCGTAGAACATCAAAAGAAAAGCAGCTTGTGCACTATTCGATGCAGCATTTTCTCCTCTTTCTAACAGGTGTTTTTTGTTTCCGATTCGTTTAGTTTCCGGGGAGAAATCATCATAACTCATTTTTTTAGCGAGCCCCAGGCTGTAACCGAAAAACTCGAAATTTGATATTTCGAACCCGTAAACCCTCACTTGCTTTGTAAAATTAATGCTAACTCATAGTACCATCTTGATAGTCTCAAATTCCGAAAAATCATGATGTTTGATGCGATTGTGGCTGCGGTGAGCCTGCCAAAATGCGATGGTTCTGTTAAAAAATCTTTCAAAAAATTACGGCGAGCTACCAGAAGGAGAAAAAAGTAGTACTGTAATCTATAAAATTTATTCTATCGAACCATTACTTGAACTCCTTCTGAGGACTGATATGAAAGTTTTAAAAAAATCGTGAAACTTGACCATCTCAAAAAGCATGGGTCGCAGACTTTGATTATTTTTTGAAAGTTCATTGATTGTTTTGCAACAATCTCATAACCCTTAAAAAGAGAATGAAATTCTGCACCGAATGCCTCCAAGATCTCTTAGAAATCTTTGTTTCGTCACATGTGGTGACCGTTTGAAAAAAGCGAAATTACTTTTGAAACGACCTAATATATCAATCATTAGAATATTGGGGACCGAAAAATAAATATCAAAATGATTTATTCGAAGAGTAGATATTCAAATAAAATCATTCGAATGTATTATTTAAATAAATATTAGAATGATTTATTCGAATAACTTAGAACAGTCATTTAAACTTGCTGGCATATCCAGCTCGGTTCATACGGCTCTGCATCAAGCATTTGAATACAAATTTAATTTGAATACGAATGTGAATGAAACATTTGAATAGAAATTTGAATAATTATTGTTAAAATCTCGATTTCCAAACATTTGAATTTTCGAGATTTATTTGAAAATGGAAATATTCAAGTCTCAATTTTTGAGTACGAACATATTGAATGTTTGATTCAAATGGTCGAACTTATTCGATCAGGACCAAAGTACAATACCGCTCGTTATTTATAAAAAAATTACTGCACTCTGTCAGAGTTCGCCGCACTCTGGTTGCACTGCCATATCTTGCTTCGAAATGGACGAATTCTTAATCCAAAAGCGCCATTCTCTGCTCAACATCTTCTGATGAAAGGAACTGCCTATTTGAGCACGATAATAGGTCGGATTTCAAGGACCTTTCCAGATTTTTGCTTTGGTAGTTGGCCGTTGTGCATTCAACACTCTGAGTACCTACCGTAAGCAAGAATCTAGAAATTTTGAGCGATCGCGCTCAAACAGGCGCATCCATGCACCAAAATATGCGTCTCGTCGAGCTCAATTAAATGATGCTTTTAGGTTGAGAATTCGTCCACTGCGAAGCAAGATATGGCGATGCAACCAACGGCGAACTCCGGTGGAGTGCGGTGATTTTTTCCACAAACGAGGGGTATTGTATACTCCTCATAAGGAGAGGCAATAGATGCTCAGTTTCAAATTATTGAGTTGTTGGTAAATTTAAGAAAATGCTTGCTGCAGCTAAAGGAAAATCTCTGTAAAGTCAACTTTATCATAGTTTATACAAAAAACAAGTGCTCTCACTCTTCCACTTACTTGTACTACGCGTGCATTTAGAGGTGGGCAATGTTTTGGAAGCCGATAAGAAGGAAGAACATAGGAGAAGGACGACAAAACCAATTAGTTCATTTTGCATTTCAATTGGTGTTAAATTTCTCCTTCAACTAAGTACTTCGGCATTCTCAGTCAAAGTTGCGCATTATTTTGACTCATAGTGATTTCGGGTGGTTTTTCTTTGGAAATGGGATTAGCCACTTGATCTTTCATCCTTAGTTCGCAAAAAACCAGGTCATTGTTCCTTGAAGAGTTCAGTTGCGGCAAAACCATCTTTTAGATCTCGATGTGAGAATCAATGGATTAGCGATAAGATGCGAAAGTCAATTGGCGATCTTGTTTTTATGATGCACTCCTTTTAATAATTTTCTCTCTAATCGCAAAAAGCTTCATTTGACTATGTGAATTTGTGAATGAATGTGTCGAGAAAGCTATGCAGGAATTGAAGCAAGGCTAACCTAACAAGTTTACGGCTGAAGTGAAAACTTGAGTGTTACAGGTCTTGCCAGTGCTAGTGCAGAATCACTGCAGGATTTTCAACTCTTTTTTTCAAATGATGGAAACCTGCATGGAGTTCCTTTAGACATGTAAAAAACGAGACATAGGCCAGTAGTAAACCCCACTTCACTCCAGATGATCTCAACTGAAGGCCTCAGTTGAGGTTTTTAAGATGAACTGACCAGCAGTCACTCTCACATGCTTAAAGGCAGTGGCTCGGCCAATCTCAACTTAGTCAAATTTTTGCTTACCTGAGATTATTCAATGCGCTGATCCCGAAAATCCACTTTAGAGAGCTTGAAAACGGCGAAAACGTGCGTTTTTCGATGCCCTTCCTTTTGAAGTTGGACGAGTGGAGCAAGGCTGATGACGCTGAATCGTTGCAGGACCCAATATTTATAGCGTTGCGGCGGGCAGCTTCTAAAGATGGGAAAGAAATTGCCCACTCGTCCGGGCGCGTAAGATTGGTTTGCTCGTGTAAGTTTGAGAGCAGATTTCTCGGCAGGAAAGGCATGCTCTGCAACCGGGATTGCACTGTTTTCATACTTGGGCGACAGGCAACCTACTGCGTTAAAATCCTGCGTTCTTAAGTTTTGCCGATCCACTGCCTTCAAGAATGCGACCTGATTTGACGGGTGAGCGTCAGGGCAGGTGCCGCAGTGATTTCACCTGATTTCCGTAAGAGCATCGTTGATTTTGAGATGAATTGACCGAAATAGTGTGCAAAGGATGAAATGCAGAGAAAAATCCCGTAAGTTGCTCCTGAGTACATATTGTGACATATTATTGAGGGTTAAAGTACGCGACACTGCACATTTTCGGGGGCCTACGGATTACAAAAGTCGATGAACAGCTGACTGTAGCCAAAAATGGGAAAAACTAGTTTTTTTCCTTTTTTTCGATTGCGTTCATCGATTTTTTGTTACTGGCCGCTATCATCAATGATTACGTGCCGATGCCGCAAAACTAATCCCCTGGATGATTCCGAACCATGGTCGCTGGCGTAGCATCTCAATCAGTAATCCATTTGACCATACCCGAACAAACAGCGTTGCTGTTTCTTCCTTGAGAACAGGCATCCTTGTCATTTTTATATGAAACGATCAACATTGAGATCAATAGCTCGCGGGATGCTGGACTGAGGCGCCCCACGATCAACTCAGGTCCGCCTCACAGGAGATACCATGATGGGGGGGGGTTTACTATGGCCATAACGCTTTTTTGGCAGCTCAGAACAAAGATATTATTAGGCTACTGTGGGGCAGTGAGTACTCATTCCATTTGAAAGCGGCGTTAATTAGATTCATTAACATGGGGGAAGACCCATGTCGGTGCAATAATAACAAAATTGAATACTGGAAACACAATAAAGTGATGTCGAAAACGTGTTGTCTTGCACAACGGATGACTAGAATTCCTTATTGGAGATTTCGAAACTTTGTAAGGGAAGGAGCGTTTTGATCAAATAGATTATCGGATAACTTGACCTACGCGCGCCAAGAGCGCTTGTCGATTGTTTTGTCCAGGAGTTCTCGGTTGGTGTCGGCAGGGAGCGGCGGTGGCCGCATTGTTACTTTTATTTCTGTTATTTTTCTTTGTGAGTCTTTTCTTGTACTGCCCATAAGGCAGGCTTCTGCTTTTCCAGTGTTCTTTTTTTCGTTAGTAAAGTTCTCGTTATTCTTCTGTCGCAAATCCTTCTACCCACGTGGCCCGCCACCCAAATCCTATTTTTACAACTTTCATTTTATCAACTTGCATCATTAGAACCGTATCAAAACTATATTGGGGTGTTCCAGATTTTCTCGCCTTCTTCGTTCACAACTTTTCATAAAGAGCGCTTTCTAGCTTTTCCAATTATATCAAGCACCTAGGAGAAAGTCTTGTTAGAATTGATCAGTCGAGATTTCATTTTTCAAGCAACTAGAGTAGGAGAGTTACACAAAATTGCGTATGTATTGGGCGACTTCTTGTAGTTCACTGTTGAAAATGCTGAATTTGCAGGTTTCGCAGTTAAAAGTCATATTTTCATAAGTCATCAAAGACCAAGATTTTCGCAGGGCAGCATCATAAAAAGTTTATAATAGAATCGGTAGATTCTTTTAAAAACTTTTTTCTTGATTGTGTTACGAATTTCAAGTAAAGCTTGAGGAAAGTTATTGGTGACAACGACTGTACAAGCTGCTGCACTTATCCTGGATTGTAAACAAACATTTTGGTTCCGAAATGAGTAGCTAGGAAGAGGAAGCGGCGCTGCATCAGGAATTCCTTCATATCTTTTCTGTTTAGGATCTACTTTTTGAATCAATCTCAATTAGTTTGAGCCTCCTTTCTAAAATTTGTGTTCTATCAAAAAACCAAAACTCCAGGAAATTGTGTAGAAATTGTGTACAACTCACTTCCAATTCCTATAGGATCTTGAGCGCAGGACAGCCCAAATAAAAACACGGATTCAATTAAAACGATAATTTGAATGTGAGGAATGAAGGGGTTGCAAAATTTGAGTGAAACAGAGCCTGTTGTCTCTTATAGGTCCTATATAAAGTTGCGAAAATATCTTATGTTAGAGTTTAATGGTTCAGTAAATAAATGTTCAAACAAATACAAACTTCTCTTAAGCAAGTTGCAGCGGGCGTGTAAAAATCAGAATTGCCACCGAAGTCATCTACTGAAAAGCAGTTAAAGTCCAAGGAGCTTGTATGAGGCCAATGAGAGCACGAAGCAAAAATGTTGCTCTTGAAGCTAGTCCTCGTATTCAAGAAAAGCATCCATAGGAGCCTGTAAATCTAGAGCTTGAAATAACTTACTCCTGAAAGGGTAGGAATGCCCAAAGCCTAAACATTACTCAGAATAACTTGTTAGCGGCTCATGTTATACAAAATCAAAAGTTAAATCTATGTGAATGAAGTTCTTAAGAACTTTTGAATATTTTTCACATTGTATTTGAAATGTAGGGGTATGAAAATCTAAAAGTTGGAAAAGACTACAAAATTTTTTTTGGAGGCTCCTCAAGTCCCTTCAAAAATACCGTCCCCTCTCCCAAATTTTGGTACTGCCACCGCTGATCACCTCTGTCGAACAAAACTCAGCAACTCAAATAGTCTCAGTCCAATTCTGTTGCTAACAAACGCTCGACACTGTGAAAAAGTTTCAAGAGACAGTAAGAAGATAAGGAAAAATTCAGCACGTCTCTTGGAAACAGAGCCTGCTAAGGAACCTAAAGTGAAAATTCGGAGTCCTTTTCACTCATTCTTTGTCAATTACGAAACTTTGTATCAATGTTCGAATCTTACTTTCGGGATCAGGAGTTTGAAAAGGTATCTTCTTGAGCGGCATTCTCTCCAGACTGTCGTCATAATAAGAGGGCGGAGGTCTGTCTGCTTCCTCAAAGAAGATCTTCTTTTTTTCCGTGGTATCCATGCTGAAAGTTTTGAGATTACGATCGACTAATCGATTGATGAAAGGGGAAAGCGTGAGTCGGAAAGAGTCGGAAGTACATTAAAGTGCTGAGCCGCGGTTGGCCGAGAAAGCTAGCCGAATGCTTCGCTGCGAACGCTTTACACTGTCGCACATCACAGCTCGTAATTATTTACACATGCGGTCGGGACAACTGGCACTCCAATCTGGATCAATCTATGTCGTGTACGTAACTCGAATTCGTGCAAAAGAGAGACCTTTAGGTCGTCACAGCGTTCACATATTTCTTATAAGATTTAGAAAATAGCAATTGAGGCTGACAAGATTGAAGAAGAAATCACAGGAAGCATCAATGAATAAACCACGAGCAGCGATATTGATCACTATATGACCAATACTGCTTTTATCGCTTTGCAATATCAAAGGACAGCGAAATCGATATTTTGCAAATAGTCGAGCGAATCAGCAACACACCCTAGCACGCTCAAAACAGATGAATCAGGCTTCACAATCAGAGCTCGTCGCCTTTGGCACATAAGATGTCGGGATATCCTTTTCAGAAAAAGAAGAAAAAAACAGAGGGTTTATTGTATATGAGCGCGTCACCTCTGCTTCGCAGCGGTTTACACTGGCATACAATAGTGTGCAATAGACCCTTACAAATGATTTTTGAACAACTGCTCATTCTTAGAGCTTTCCCATGTAAGATCGGTAATTTTGGGAGAAAAGTTTTTTCTGCGAAGAACATATGCGATTTTAAGTGCGTTGCTGAAGCAAATTTGGTTTAATAGTCGACATAAGCATAATAATCACCTGGAGCTAAATCTCTAAATCTCTGATCAAATATCTTCCCAATTTTTAAGGTGAAACCTTGGCAAATTAACCATCTAAGCAATTAATCTTTTTTTGGCGCCGATTTTGCGTGAAAAAAAGACTTTTTGCTCACGTTTTGGGACAAAGTCTATGGTTTGCGGATTTGCAAACCATAGCTTAACCACTCCACAATCTTGCAGAAAGTTGAAACAGCGATTTAGTTTGGCTTGTTGAAAGCCGCGTGGACCCTTACGGTGAACACAGCAGCTAGCGTGCACTGCACAAAAATTTGCCTCAAGAGCTAATTTGTAAATTGCTCTACGATTTTGGTCACACACACACACACACACACACACACACACACACACACACACACACACACACACACACACACACACACACACACACACACACACACACACACACACACACACACACACACACACACACACACACACACACACACACACACACACACACACACACACACACACACACACACACACACACACACACACACACACACACACACACACACACACACACACACACACACACACACACACACACACACACACACACACACACACACACACACACACACACACACACACACACACACACACACACACACACACACACACACACACACACACACACACACACACACACACACACACACACACACACACACACACACACACACACACACACACACACACACACACACACACACACACACACACACACACACACACACACACACACACACACACACACACACACACACACACACACACGTTTTATATATGGGTCGAGTCCAACTAATGAATTTCCACAGCGCGAATTTAAAACTGTGCAATATACTTGGGTCCGAATAAAAACATTCGAATATATTCGCATTCTAAATTCGATATTCGAAGTATTTATATTTTCGAATAAAATTCGAAAGATTACAAAAAAGGGGGTTTTAGATAGAATTCGACTCGAGTAATCAAAACAACTCGAATAACCAAGAAAGCGGGTTTCGAATAGATTCTATTCGAATGTTTTATTGGGATGTTATATTCAAGTTCGTATTCGAATGAAGTCCGTATTCAAATCATTTGAGTTTGTTGCAGAGCCTTTTGCTGGGTATCAAGCTCGCTTCGCCTGCGTTTCCTTCTGAAAAACTCGATAATTCATCTTTTTGCAGCCGTGATCAGCTTTGAGCCGCATAGAAGCTCACACTTCTCCCAAATGCTTGCGATAATAATAGATGTATATCTTGATTGATTGCTTTTTTGATCAATGAGGCATTCGCACTGCTATTGACACCAAATCAGCAAAAAAAACAGCTATCGAATTCAAACCCATGGTCCGATCATATACCAGGGCCCGGCACGCGTTGGTTTGAAGCATCTTTGGAAACGAAGTCCCCCATAACTTCGCGAAAATTTACGAAGTCCCTCTTGACGTAAAAAGCAGTACGAAAACCCTTATTCAATCAAAAAAACAATAAAAAAGCGAAAAAAAAGCGCATTCTAAGCTACCTAATATAACAAAAAAAGCGAAAAAAAACATTTCGAGTTGATTAAAGGCTCTGTCATTGGGTAGGGTACCATTTTAGTGCTCAGAATGTTGAAAACCTCTTTGGCCAACCAAATCTGTGGTCTCAACAATCTGGCGATGCATTTTTCGCCACATAGTTCAAAAGATACCGCATGTGATTGGAGCGCAATATCTATCAACGCCTAGATTTACACTACTTCTGGCTCAAAAAAAGAGGAGATGCAATAGTTTGATTCACTTTCTTCACTATATAATAGATTTTTGACCGTTCTAATCGTCCAAATCAAAAAGAGCCAAAACTTATGTGAACTCTCCGATATTTATGCTCCGAACCATCCCAGTTGGTTTGGTGGTTGGTCTAGAAACCAACAAATTCGGGAACGGATATTAGGACACATAAGTTTTGGGAACCTTTTACATAACATAGTTTGGAGTAATATTGTACACACATAGCCCAAATCCGGAGCCATGTGATTGTTTGTGTGCTGTAAACAAGCCGTTTGTTTGTTTGAGTCTTGCGTTTGAAATTCGCGGGCTTGCGAAAGAACACGTTCAACTCGTATATCCTAACATGTTCGTCGTTTTTTTATCGGCGCTTCCCCCAGGACCTTTTTAAAAACGATATCCCCCTTGCTTCTAACTTCAAAAACGAAGTCCAGTTTGACCCCAGACCATCTGTGCCGGGCCCTGTCATATACTGAAAGTGTGTTGACAGGCCTGTTCCTCTTTTTTGCGTTGCTCATGTTATTGATCCGCAAAGGTTCACACTAGTGAGCGCTCTTGCTTGTAGAAGTCACGCTGCACAACCTCTACTCTTTATCTTAAAGATTTTTCGCGAATGACGGTGTATATTGAGTAAAGGCCACTGCAGCTGTAGTGGAGGAGTAGACGGTTGATGGATTTTGCAGCTATATCACCTCGTAATAATGTTTTGTCAATATATAGTGCATAATAGTTTTGTTCACAGTGCAATCAAGATTTTTACCAAGGCTTGCAGACATGTTAACACCAGTTGCTATGCTATCAGCCTACCAATAGTAAAGGCTAATCCTGACAAAGACGGTCCACATCGTGAATCTATTTTATCGATTTTATCGATTTTGAAAAACTTTGGGCTACGAGGCTGGGAATTCGTACAGAGGGGTAAGTGAGGGTGCTGATCATGAATGATTCGGCTTTAGCCGGGTAGGTCAGCAGGTTTTTATTGTTGCCCTAGATATTCGACAGTCATTTGAATTATTCGAAATTCGACTTCCAATGTTCGTATATGATCGAATTTTTGATTTTCCGATTTTACTTGGAATTCATTAATCCGAAAGTTTTTATATTGGAGTTTTTCGATTATTTATTCGAAATTCTTATTTTCGAGTTTGATATCGTTTATTCCATTTTCAATTTCGATTTTTATTCAAGAAACATTCATTCGATAAGAAATTTCGAATTTCTCCAAGTATACTGTGCAACAAACAAAGAAATGGCCATTTTACAACGGGCCAATGTAACGGCACTAAATCCGGTGTGTAGGGGGTGGGGGGGGGGGGAGAGAAAGGGGGCAAGATGACAACAGCTGCTTATTATGATGCTCTTTGCAAAATCAGAGCGATTCGCCTGTTATTGCTGTAGTTGTCAGCAGCAACATGTTTCTCGCTGATTTAATGATAGGATCCAAAAAAAATGTTAAAGCGACGAACTTTCAACGATTACTTTATTCAGAGATAGTGGTATACATATTATGGACTTTGGGAGTAATATGACTTACGTAATGCATATAGGTTTACAAGTTATCGTTCATGTTGGCTGCCTCCATGTAAACGCACGATGGGCAGGGATGTAAAAAAATGTGAGAAATTCATAAAAGAGAGCCCTGCTCAAGTTTCTACCAGTTTGCTGACACATCTGATAGAGCCATCTCCGCTGTGCTGGCACGGAATGAACAAAGTCGTAAGTTCCCTTTTCGCATAACTTTCCAGTTTTTGAAACATGAGTATATAAGTGTCCAACCGTCGCAAGCTTCGACCCCTTGCCTGTTACTTCATGCTAATTTTACTTGTTTTTCCCCACTCTTCACTTACGTGATGAAGCCATACCTTAGGGACCTTCGAAGGGTTTGTCGCTTTTCGCGGAAATCATCGGCGTCACGCGTGCCGTGCCTTGGTTGCAAATCCAGTTTTGCCTTGAATGTGTTTTGCTTTTCGAGCAGGTTAGCTAACTTACCATTATGTTTATCTACATAAGAAGGTTGCATTGGGTGCAAAGTATGTTGCTCTTAGGCCCTATGCACGTAAACACCGTTGGGGAGGCGAGGGCATCTGACAATGAGAGAGGATGCGTCATATCTCGCTACTCTACGTATCTTTCTTCTTCCTCTATCTTGCTTGTGGAGGTTCTCATACACAAAAAAATGCAAATTCTAGTGAGGATGTACTACGGCACTGCTAAGCACGTTTTCTACAGGAGAAATAGAATCTGAAGATTGTGAATTTTTTGATAATTCCTAGCTCACGAGTAGTGGTTTATCGAAGATTTCGATATCCTGAGATTTTACTTATTTCTACCATAAACATGTTTAGCAGTGCCGTAGTATATCCTCAGTACAATTTTGCAGCATTTTCATTGACTTCTCAGGAAGACAAATGGCTTTACAATTGAGAGGTGATCTCCTGAGGATCCTCTGAGGATCAATGGCAAAAAACAAATCTTGTATGGAAGTAACTGGCATTCATTATGCGCAGGTAGAAGTGTATGAGAACCTTCATAAGCAAGATAGAGAGCGTAGGGGAAAGATATTCAGAGTAGCGAGATATGACGCATCCCCTCTCTCCTCTCCTCTCCCCAGCGGGGATGTACGTTAGTCAAAATTTGCCTGAACCAAATAAGTATCATGAATTTATCTAAGTACGACCGTCGGTCCTTCGGCATTGTGGCAACTGCTTAGAGAACTGCTTGAGCTTCACACCGAGATTAGTAATTGATTTATTTGACTGCAGAGCGTATACTATTTACTGAGCTCTGACCTTTATAAACACCCAGTGGCCCGGCCTCAAATTGACCTCAGAAGCCGCAAGGGCTCTGATAAGCGGTCATCTCATTAGTGAAGGCTATGCACTCATCCTTCCTATTCAAATTTGGAATTTTGGCGGCAATTTAAAACGCCTCTAACATCTTGCGTGCCAGGATTTCGGATTCGCGTGCTAAGATCGTGACCTCACATCAGTCTGCGTCATTCCGGATTGCCTGCGGTGCATGTGCAGTGGAGTTGTGCCGGGTTCAGTTTTTCAAGACGGTCCAAATGTTCCTTGACGGTGTACATGGAGGGCGCACCGTTCTGCCGATATATGTGCCTCTACACGCGGGACAAGTGATAAGATACACTAATCCAGACACCACGCAGTCGCTCTCTTTGCCGAATGGACATATTACACACCCTGGGGTCATGCACAACATATCGTAAGCACATTACGAATGAGCTGACATTTGAGGTTTGGGGTTTTGGGGTGGTACGTATATCACTCTTATCCAATCTTGTAAGTCCACTTAATGTATCAATCTTCGTACTCTTGCTGAGTTCTTCCGAGATGTATGGCAAACAAAATGGGATTTTGTCATCGGTTTCTGGAGGCTCGAGGTTGATCAGACCACGTGTGACTTAAAAATGTTTCCTGTATCCGTTACACCCAACTATGTGGTCAGCTAGATTTAGCAAGTAATCTCTTTGCTCCCTGATCGACGAAACATTCATGGCTGTCCTGTAAACATTGTCTACAATGGACTTCTGGACTTGTGCAGACTGGGCCGAAGTGTAGTGCACTGTAACAGTCTTGCTACTGGGTTTTCGGTACCATCTCGTTTCGAAAGTGCCACTCGACAGCTGCATTTGAATGTTTAAGAACGGTAGACAATTGTCGGTAAGTTCCTTACGTGTCATTTTGATGTAAAGGCACTGATGATTGAGAATCCTGA